ATTTATACATAATCATATAAATTATGCAATCATAGCCTGGGGAAGTACGGAGAAAAGTAAATTACAACATCTTTATCGCCGTCAGAAACATGCAATCCGTGTAGTTAATTATGCGGATCGCTTTTCACGTTCGAAATATTTTTTTGATTATATGAATGTACTAGATGTTTATAAACTTAACATATTTAATGTTTTATGTTTTACTTTTATGTGGAAAAACGATTTATCTTTATTTGTTTTCAATGACCTTTTTTCTTTAAAACCAATAAATAAATACACATTAAGAAGTAATAGTTTTCTAAATGAACCATTTTGTAAAACGAAGTTCAACCAATTCTGTATTGCATATCGTGCACCCCATCTTTGGAATAAAATAGTATTACCAAATTTTGACCCTTCTACTACTCTTCCTGTTTTTAAAACTAAATTAAAAAACTTCATTCTCTGTATGGACAACATTCTAAAATTCTACTAAAAATTTATGTAAAATGTATTTTTCAAATCTTCAGCATATTGAGTATTAAAATGTTAGTATATTGTATATTTGCATTATGTTATATTGTATTAGTATATTGCATATTTGCATTATGTTAAATCTTTGCATTATGTCTTTTTTAAGGTTCCGGTGATAAGATCCTTCTGATCTTCTTTCGGAAACCTAGTCTTATATTGTTAGTACGCTGAATTTTATATACATATATATATATATATATATATATACTCATTTTTTTTTCTTTTCTTGTAGAAGTCTTAAATATTTTTATGTATCAGGCTTATATTATTATATATCACGACTTATATTTTTATATATGTATCAGACTTATATTATTATATATCACGACTTATATTATTTTGTATCACGACTAACATTGTAAACTAAAAAAAAAAAAAAAAAAAAAAAAAAAAAAAAAAAAAAAAAAAAAAATCAAATGGGGAAAAATTTATATCAGTTTTGGAATGCTGGAGGTCTCTAGACTACATTTACAAAAAATAAATTACTTCAATATAGAAGTTGGTTTAAAGGAGTTTTGCTCACCTCTAGCCAACTGTGTTTAAAGGAATTTTGCTCACCTCTGGTCAACTGTGCTGTGTGAATACTAAATTAGAACACCTAAAAAATTGGCTAAAAACTTTAAAATAATGGTGCAGGTGAATTTTTTGAGGGATAACTTTCGAAGTCTATCAAATGTAGAAAATAAGACGTTTCACTAGAAAATTTCAAAATATAGCTTTAAGGTGGAGAGGTTAAGGCCATCGCTCTTGACATTTCTAAGGCGTTTGATAAAGTTTGGCATGCTGGTCTTCTCCATAAGCTTTCTTCTTACGGTGTATCTAGAAACATCTTTAAGATTATCGAATCCTTCCTTTCCAATCATAGTATAAAAGATGTCCTTGATGGACAGCACTCTTCTTCTTATTCTGTAACCTCAGGGGTTCCTCAAGGTTCAATCCAAATTTTCTCACATCTAAGGTGGCATTGTTCGCTGATGATACTACCATTTATTCTTGTCACAATAAGAAGCCAACTCCCTCTGATTGCTTGCAGAGGGCATCTGAGCTTGAAATGGATCTCACTTCTGCTACAGCATGGGGCTCACAGTGGCTGGTGAACTTTATTCAGAGAAAACTCAATTTTTTTCAGCCAATCGTTATCGCAATAATTTAGACCTTCCTATATTTATGAACAGTAATGTACTCGATGAGTCTCCTACCCTTCATCTTCTAGGATTAACTCTTACTTCTGATCTTTCTTGGAAACCTTATATCAAATCCGTTGCAAAATTAGCATCTGCTAAAGTCGCTTCTTTTTATCGAGCTCGTCACTTTCTTACTCTGGATTCAATTCTCTATCTCTGTAAATCTCAAATCCGGCCTTGTATGGAATACTGTTGCCATATCTGGGGTGGATCTTCTAATGATGCCCTTTCTCTTTTAGACAAGGTGCAAAAACGCATTGTAAACATAGTTGGACCTACTCTTGCAGCCAACCTTCAACCTCTGTCACATCGTCGTAATGTTGCTTCTCTTTCTCTTTTCTACAAATACTATAATGGGCACTGCTCTAAGGAGCTAGCGTCTCTTGTGCCATCTACAAAAATTTATTTTCGTGTTACTCGTCATTCAGCTAAGTCTCATCCTTTTTCTGTTACTGTTCCTAAGTGCTCCAAAAACTCTTATTCGTCTAGTTTTTTTCCTCGAACATCAATTCTTTGGAA